TGTCCTTGAACATCAGAGATTGGTGGACCATGATCTCCTTGTCCTCGTTCAAGCATTCACTAGGTAAGACACCAGTGGTCGGTGTGCCCTTCTTCGTCGAGTCAATGACGAAGTCGGCTGTGATTGTGTCGTTGTTTGCGAGTGTGACTGTGAACTGACCATTCGGTTGTTCCGTGATAGATGCGCGGCTACCCAAGACCAGCTTGACGCCCTCCTCTTCGAGCAGGATCTTTGCGCGTTCCTTGACGTCTGCCGGTAGTGGCTCTGACGACAGTACTTCACTCCGTGAGTGCACGAGTGTGACGTCGATCTCAGGGTAGTAGCTCTTGATCTCAGCAGCGAATTCGACACCGACGGCACCAGCGCCGATGACTACAACTTTTCTTCCTTCACACTTCGATGGATCGCCGCCAGTGATCTTCTCAATGAAGGCCTTTGAGTCTCTTTGGTACTCTTCGAAGCTTCCAGACTTTGGCACAGCAGGGAACGGTCTCTTCAGGCCGGTGGCCATGACTAGGTAGTCGTATGATTGGTGTTGCGTCTTGCCATTGCGATCGCACCACTCTGCAACCTTGGCTTCAGGGTTGATGTTCTTCACACTTCCATGCTTGAAGTGCAGATTTGGGTGCTTCAGCTCATTTAGATGGCTATACCTCTTCCACATATGGGTGGTGTACTTTGGTGTAACATGGGCGAGCGGTGCGCCAACCGAGTGGACTGCAAGACACAAGCATTAGCTAGATTTCCTCTAACGCAGGGTGACAAGGTGGGGCAGTGAAGATGCTGAGCCTCGGCTAGTGGGGTAGAGTGACGCACAATAACCATCGCGCTCATCGATGACAGTAATTTCAACCCCTCTGTTACTCCGTGCACCCTTGAAGTCAGGGCCTGGGTAGACACTCTGTCGGGCCTTTCCTTGTGAGAGTTCTAGGAGGTTGACGACAGTAGAGATGCCTCCATACGCGCAGCCGACAACGAGTACGCGGTTAGGATTTGATAGGCTGAGGTTGCCCAGTGTGTCAGTAACGCCTTGGAGCCTCATTGTGAATATTTGATCTGATAAAGGAGGGGTCGTGGGGGTGTAGGAGTGTTGGCAGGGCGGGATGGGAGGAAGATGATCTGATTAGATTAGAAGCACAGGTGGCAGAACGCCGACTTCTATATGCCGGCAGCGCACCACACATACACCACACCGACATCGGAAATCAGCTAACTATCGTCGCGCCAGCAACTAAGCTATTCGCAAGTACACGAGCGATCCACCATCGTCGCGGATGTGGTGGTCGGTTTGCGATTGGTGGATGGCTGAGCATCTTATCAGATCCGAGCATTATCCGGTGCAAATTTTATCTGATGCCCCACTCCAACTGCATCTGCCCATCCTTCGTGTCTTGCCAAGATGAGCAATCAAGGGTCTGACTACCCAACGGTGGTCAATGACAGCCTAGTTTCGGTTGCAGCTACCGGAAAGTCGCGTATTCGACCGCTTCTCGACTATACCCCCACATAAGGCCTCCGCTGGTGGACGCACATGTGCGGAGACCAAGGCCGCTGGTCACAGTCACGATTCACAACGTTACAATGAGTTCGTATCAACGAGGAATGGAATACGCGTTCGAACCAGGCCAGTGCTCACTCTTGACTCAGGCTGGTCATTCAATGTCACTACGGTATATCGTTTGATTGCGATAGCTTTGCTGAAGGAAGTCGTATTACAGATGCACGATCGTTCCTGGCACGTGCCAATTAGATCAAGTTAAGTGGAGAAAAAGTCTATATTCAATCTTCGTCTTCGTCGTCAGATCTATTAACATCAAACCCAAGTAGCTCATCGCCCTCTCCTTCTTCATCCTCACCCCTAACCTCTAAATCACGTATCTGTCATTCGCCCTTGAATCCATCCACAAGCACAACTGGGCCCTTGTACTGCTTGCGTCCGCGGATAGCATAGTCAATACCACTCAGAACAGCGACGCCAACGAACATAACAACAGCCCAGTTGAAGTACGCCAAAGGTACAGGCGTGGACTCAGGCCAGAAGCACCAGAAGAAGGCGTGGGAAGAGTAGAGAACGCCACCGATGTTGATGGGTACGCCCCATTTGCCGAGGGACCAGCGGCAGTTGGGGAGGAGTTCGGGGTGGCGGATGCGGCGGTAGAGGACGGCGCCGATGGAGAACATGTATGTTATCATAAGGGCTACGACGTTCAGGGAGATTACTGTAGTACGTTAGCTGACATTGTACAAATATGCGAATCGAAAGGAAGAAACATACTAGCGTTGAAAGCAGTATCCGAGCCGATGTTAATCAAACTCAGCGCAACGGTGATAAGACAAGTCACCGTCACAGCATTCGCCGGGATTTCCAACTTCGGATCAACATGGCCGATCCAGTTGCTGAATGGGAGACCCTTGTCTCTAGCGAAAGCCCAGGTCTGGCGCGAAGTCGACAAGTTGAAGGTTAATGTGCCGGCGAAGATGAGCACCGTAGGAATGGCGTTGAGGGCTACGACACCACCCGAGTTGACGGCTTGGGCGAAGACCCACATGTGCGGGTAGTCTTCCGCGAGTGCAGCGTCGACATCGGTAATCATGAACATGTAGCTGATTAGGAAGACTATTCCGAGAGAGCCGTTCATGAGGTACGCGCCGATCATGGCGCGGGGAACGGTTTTGCCGGCATCTTTGATCTCCTCAGCCATGTGGGCTGCGGAGTCGGAGCCTGTGATCGGGAGTTAGCTTATGTTTCAACGACGAAGCTTGGGAGAGATATAGGCTTACAGATACAGGCGTAAATGGCTGACACCTGACCCACCATAAGAGCCAAACCAGTTGAACTCCAGTTTCCGCCATTCTTGAACTGGGTGAAAGTCACTTCAGCAGTAGCCCGTGGCGACAGAACCCAGAAGACGATGATGATGGCCAAGAAACCAAATACGTGAACGACCAACATGACGTTCTGGAAAATAGGCATAGCCTTTGAGCCCCAGATATTCAGGACCCAGACCAAGAAGGTAACGGCAATGACCATGAGCGTTCCGTGCCAGCTGGTGGGCTCGTATTCTGGATACATGACGATTACGGAGGCTTGGATTAGGGTGCCGACGAGGAAAGGCCCGGAAGCTGTACCGGCTTGCCATGATAGTGTTGACATCCATCCGATGAAGTAGCTGAATGGCTTCTGGACGCTGGGAGGCGAGAATTCGGAAACCCAGTGGTACTGGCCACCAGCGGTCGGTGCCATCGATGCCATCTCTGCTAGCGACAGCATAACAGTGCTGAAGCCGAACCATGTCCAGACGAAACTCCAGATAAGACCTGCTGGGCCTCCATCGAGGAGGCCTTGGTATGTTGCACTACGATATTGTCAGTTCCTAGTCCACATTCATCGTACCAAGGTAACGTACGTCAAAAGCACCTCCCAAGTTCCCTGCAGGATAACGGTAAACGCCAACGCAGACAACGGCCGATAATTCCTTTTCAGCTCTTGCACCTTGCCCATGCGCTCCATATCCGCGCGATCAGCCCTCGTGAAACCCCTCAGAGACTGGTGATACTCCTGACTCTCATCCCCATCCAACGACCGCGACGCATTCGCCCGCGACTCCAACGTCGCCTGCTTATCCATACTGCCAAGCGGCTGAGCCTCGTAAGCAGCCATGACCAGATGCACGCCTTAAGATATGCAGGAACGCAGCGCCTCAATAAAAATGAGACCCAAGAAACAGGAACAGCAAACGCAAACTAACAAGCGAAAACGGTGCGATGGTAAGTAAGAAGAAGGGATTGCCCACACGGACACACGAAATGGCGTGCACATGCATGCTGGCGAGATGGGCTCGTCCAGCCGCTGCGAAATGCCTTGTCTGCCGCTTCCACGAAGAAGTGGGGTGCACTAGACCCAAACCCTCTTCACATACCCGGCATCTCTTTTTCTCGAGCGGAGCCAGGGTCCAATGGTGCAGATACACTCCGGTGCACATGTCAACCAACAAGATCGTCGCGGTACACAGTGCGTGGCCCTCCGACTTGCCATGAATGGTTTGACGTCCTGTCCGCCCAGATGCCACTATCCCTGCCGCTAGCGCGACACCACGCGGCCCGCTTCCTTATATGGGGGTTTGCTGCGGCTGGGCCGTAGGCTATCGCTGCAGGAGTCGTACATTGATTACATGTAGTTGCATCTGCCGCAGGCTTGTGTAGGAAAAGGTAATCCGCCGAGATGACACGTTCGTGAGAGGTGGAAACGTCTCTCTAGGGGAAGCGGAAGAATTCGTTCTGGACCTTCTCCAGCCTTACGAGGTTGAAGGGAGCCAGGGTGAGCATCAGATTAGCGAATGTTGATCATGGTATGATTCGTAATTCATGGTACGATTTGTAGAGTTCTGTAATTCTGTACCCGTATTGCTGCTTCGGACGGATATTACCTAGGAAATCTCAAATCAGTCATGCTGGTAGCCGAGCTCATCAAACCCGAGGGAACGGTAAACTTTCACAAGAATTTCTTGTCCCACCGTTCAGTAAACCGCTTTCTTCGCGCTAGCTACCTGAATGTCATTTCAACGTATGGCAGCATGCGGCTGTCATTCCGCCGGGCGCCGAGCCTTGTTGGCGTCAGCCACTGTAGCACATACAAGGACGAAGAGACCCTTATGCGTTAGGAGTACTTGGTCATGGCTCGCTTAGCATCAGACGCCATCTTCAACAAGATCTCCCGTGAACCCGTGTACATGGGTCGGATTCGGTCCTGATCAATAAGCGATGAGCGTGAGGGAGGACGACGTGAAGGGAGTGACATGGGCGGTATAACGTCCGCGCGAGCTCTCATTGGGCTGGCTGTGTGCAAACCACAGGCGGTATAGGTACATGTCAGACGCAGGAGCAGCGGTACAGAACCCAAAGGGTCGCCCTCTGACAACTGCCGTGGAATCTGTCTGCCTGTCATCTTATGGCCGCCACTCTGTTGTACCTTTGTTCTTCAAATTTTCCCTTGATGCTCGATGGCTGGAGAGGTGATTCCTCCGCCGTACGTTATATCTGCGGATGACAAGCGCGGGCTCATTGTTGTGACCGGTGCAGCTGTCTTGGCCTTTGTCTGGTCCTGTTTTCTGATCCGAGTATGGTTGCGCCTGCAATCGAGGGAGTGGCGATCTGATGGTAAGTGCCCTAGAGTCGATCTGTACTCAGAGTTGAGACATTGTGCTGATGGCGTGTGTGCAGATTGGTGGCTCGCGATAGCAACATTGCTCGACACGGTACAATCAGGAATCATCTTCCATCTCGTCAACCTAGGCCTAGGAGCCTCACAAGTCGGAGTACCGTTGTCGCAACTGCAGCAACTTGGAAATGTAAGTAGTGTTTAAGTTTTGGCGATTCAGCGACCCTCTGGATCCGCGCGTGGGTGTCGGCTCCTTGCTTCCTTCTGGCGTTCGCGCAGGCCCGCAGGGCAGCCGCGACCGAGTGAACCGCCGAACATCTGGGGAAACCGCGTCTAACAGCCAACAGGAAGGTTTTGCGTCGCAGATCATCTATATCTTCGTTATACTCGCTTCGAAGCTATCGGTGCTTTCGCTATACCTAAGACTATCGCCGGGCGGATCTCATCGCATCGCGTCATGGTCGCTCGTAGCACTGTCCTGTCTATGGGCACTGGTATCCGTCATCCTGATTGCTATACCATGCAATCCTGCGCAAACATATATAGACGCGGGCAACTGTACGAACAGGGTAAGTCGACTATCCTAGGCGACCAGGCGCATTCTCTTCCTCGATGAAATACATCCCAAACTAATGCACCACAACAGTGGCCAAAATGGCTCAGCATAGGCACCTTCGACATCCTAACCGAACTCCTAATGTTCCTCGCCGCAGTCCACCTAATCTACTCCCTCCAAATGCGCCTACTCGCCAAACTCCTCGTAATCCTCGCTTTCTCCGCCCGCCTCCCTGTCATCGCAATCGCCGGAATCCGTCTCTACTACCTGGACCTACGACTTCGCGGGTCAAACTTCACTTTCGACTACGTAATCGCTACGCAATGGCAGATGGGATATGCGATCATGTCGAGTACGATAACGGGAATGGGTCCTTTCTTGAAGCCGTTTGATAAGGAGTACGTGAGTAGTACGTATAAGCAGTATGGAGAGGGGCATAGTGGGAGTGGGAGTGGGAGTGGGGGGAGGTCGAGGATGGAAAGTGCGTTGACGACGCATTCGAGTGGGATGTTACCGCCCTCGAGGAGGCAGATGATGGGTCATCATCACCACCATGGCCATCACAGGCGGTCCGCGGATAACATCTCGGAATCGTATCTCATGGATACGTTGCCCAGTCGGCGGGCGAGCAAGCAGTCCTTGGGGGATCAAGATGGCTCCCATGCTCTCGAATTGATGCAGAGCAGTAGTCCGATAAGAACGTCGCCGCCGGGGCATACTCATGGCTTCATGACTGCGGACGAGCATTTTCGTCCTACGCATATGTATCGTGGGCATGAAGCGGAGGTATGGGTTGGCGAGAGGAGTTTGAGCATTACGAGGGAGGAGATAGATAAGGCTGCGGAGTCTGGGGGGAGTGGTTCCAAGTCTGGGACTAGGCTGGTTATTGGGAAAAAGAAAGAGTTCAAGATCGAGGTTGATCGCGCGAGCCGTCTTGTGTAAGCCCTATGCTGCATTGTTTGGGTGGATGATTTGCTTCAAAATGAGTTTAGAATACCCCTTTGCAGTTTGCGTTTGTTCAATGGAGAATTCGGACCAGAGAGGCGGAAGTATACAGATACGACGTTATGACATAGAAAGCCCTGTGGGTTGAAGAATCGGATTCGCAACATGTCCGAAATTCTTGAAGTGTTGGAGAATGCTTGTATGTGCTGTGATGGTGAGAAAGAAGGACACAAGCGCGCATTTCAACTGCATTGACTGTCCTCCTATTAGAGCCCCAGACTCCAGCTACTGCCGGTTCCATCACGATGAATTGAGTCAACAGACTTCAATAAGAACACATTTTCAAAACTCCTGATTCCAATGGGGACCTATAATACAGCAAGCAAAACTAGCAGTCCCTGGCCATACGAGCTTTCCATCGTCCTGCCAAGTCAACGGTCAAGATGATATCCTGATACAATGCTTTTACGGTTCGTCCCATGCTTTCTATGCTTGTGCCCAACGATCGGGAATAGATGATAAGGAAATGAACACGGGTAATCGCAAATAGAGGTTGTGAGAAATGTTAAGGTCGCCGCAGTAGAGGGCCAACCTCAACGTAGGGGGAATCGGTCGAATAGTGTAAAGGGTGCGTCTGGGAAGATGTGTTTATGCGGAGAATCGGCGCATGACCTTGGCGATGACTGGGAGTTGTTAGGTTGACACTGTTATCGAATGTTCCGGTGTACATACCGTGGAGAGCGACAACGCTGAAGATGAAGACAACGGACAGGGTCATGACCACGACGGGGTCGACCTTCAGACCGGGGGACTCATCGGTGTATAGCCCTGGAAATGGATGTTAGCTAATGTCCCACAACTGTATCTCTGCCAACCGCCGCATGCCAAATCAACTGCTATCATGGCTGAGCAGCTCATTCCACTACACATCCTCCTCTTCTCGTTCTCTACCCAGCTCGGAGTGCACTTACTCAGCATAGTGCTTGAGCTGCCGCCAGCACCTGCCGCCCTTGTGCTGCTTGGTCGCAGGTTCGCGGTCTTCTCGGCGCGGTCAGCCGCAGCTTTCCTGCGCATAACGGTCGCGGGGCCACCTGGGGGCTTTGGTGACGCAGGACGCGCGGTTGTTGAGCCGGTAGAGCCCGTGGCGGGGGAGGTAGCGCGTGCAGCAGACTATCGGTGATGTTAGCAATGATCTTGGTGTTCTGAGGTTTGGCTTGTGCGTGAGGGTATTCTCGCGGGGCTTCTTGGATGAATCGAGAAACCATGACGTCTGAACGGATAGCAGACAGCTCGAGAAGTGACAGCACGCGACACCAGTCCCATAGTCTCTGTGACATGTCCTCATGCTCTTGCTCTCCTGTCGCATGCTCCGGAAAGACAGCCAGGTGTCCTCGTGCGTCCAATGGCCTCCTCTAGCGCCAAGGAAGTTGTTACTGACCATGATGTGTATTTTTGACGGTGACCGGTGCGAGATGGACGGAGTGGTTGTGATGGAAGATGTTGTGGAAGCAGCTGGTGATAGTCGCTCGGCGGCTCTCAAAGGCCACGATTCTGGAGCTGGGGTTGCCGCGCCGCGCTAACCCTGACCTCGATTGCTTCGCTTAGAACGCCGCTAGCAAGGGTCACGTGTTAGCTCCTTCACCACGGCAGTGATTATCCCGAACGGGCAGGTACATAAACACAGCGGTGGTGTGAAAAAATTCACTGGAGACATCGCACAAAGCATGTTCACCAAAAGGATGGTTCGTCCCAAGCCACTTTTCCCATTAGACCGTTTGATATACCAGGCCAGATAGCGTCCCAATATCATCAGCGTAGGACCTAGCCCACTTTCGATGATGTAGATGCCCTCGACCAGATCCGAAAGCTAGCAACCGGTAATAGCAAGTCATCCTTAAGCAAACTCCCGCAAGCCCCGTAAACCGATGCCGACCCTTAACCTTGCCTAGCAAACACCCATGTAACCGCCCGTAAGAGGTATATTATCTTCAGCAGACCCAGAGATGTGGAACGTAGGCGAGCATGCTGCAAGTGCGCCGCCAAACCCACAGGAAATATTCGCCGACCACCAATTGACCGGCTCCACCCATGGTTGTATCTGAAAGACCGACACAGTATGCCCGAGACACCTGAAATGCAGTAACTCCGGAGGTGCATCCTATCTCCCTAATCAAAACTCCGTTTTCTAACCCCAAACAGACGCCTGGACTCCCTGGGTGGGAGTGTTGCTCCAGGGTCCGTTGTTCCAAATACCAACGCCCTTGTCAGTGACAGTAGAAGAAGGGTTCATAGAAGCAGATGTCGTCATGTTGTTCTGCTCGCTCGCGTTGTACGAGTTGTAGCCGAGAGGCGACGGCAGCGGTGAGTTTGCGCGCTTGCCCAGGGCGGCACCACCTGGCTGCTGCAGGTTCTGGTTCTGGGGACGCGTGCCGATGGGGGCGACACCAGAGCCATTGGCCTTCTGACCGGGCACTGGAGGAGAGCCTCCGGGCGACGAGTTGGAAGTGCGGTTTGCCTGCTGCGCATCGAAGAGGTTGAACGCGGGGTTCTGAGTGCCGGACGGCGAAGAGGTGCTGTTGGCACGAGCATCCTGAGCACCACCAGTAACGTCCTTGTCGCGGGGAGGCATCTGGACGGAGCCCTCGCCGGACTGGGCCTGCATGCCGAAGGGGTCAAAGGCGAGCGGAGAGGGGCCACGGCCGGCAGCAGAAGTCTGAACGCGGACATCCTGGCTCGAGGTGGGGTTGCTGTTGTACAGGGTGGAGGTCTCGCCATACAAAGCACGGTGCTGGCGGGCGATGAGTTCGCGGCGCTCATCTTCATTCATGGCATTGGGGCTCATGGAGCGGTCCGACTTGGAGCCTGAGCCTGAAACGTCTGTATTACCCTAGTCAACCAACTGTCCTGCCTATTGTTGCCCAGATTCCGAGTCCTTACTTCTGTGGTATTGCTGCTCCTGATGATAGTTGCGCAGCTCACGCTCACGCTGAGCCGCCATCCGTCGCTTCGCCTGTGCCATCTGGTCCGCGTCGTTGGGTCGGGGCGCATAGCCGCGCTGGTTCTGGTAGAAGCCCTGGACGTTGGTCGCCGAGTGGGAGCGGGAGCCGTCGTACTCGCTGACCGAGTGGTGGCGCTGGGGGCCGCCCATGCGCTGTTGCTCTGTGTCACATGTCAGTGGTGTGGAGGGGCATGCGTGGGCAGAAGTGTGTACCGAAGTCGGGGTATGGGCGGGGCGCGCCTCCCATCATGGGCATCGACTCGCGGCGGTTGGCGCCCATGGGGGTGGGAGGGAAGCCGGGGCCGAGGGGCTTGCCGCTCTTGCTGAGGTTCTCAATGGCGCGGTCGACCTCTGTGGTTACTGGTCAGCACTGCCTCGCCTATGGTTGCGACGGGGCCTGTCACTGCCATGTCGGGTCGCATTGGCTCTGACAGACCCCACCGCCGGAACTACGTACCCTCAAACTGCGAGGCAAAGGCATTGGCGACCTCGCTGTTGACCGTGGAGCTTGTGCCTACATCCATGTGAATCGCTGCACCTGCGCCGTTGAATCCCATGTGGCCGGTACCTGAGCGCGAGGGCGGTTGGGGCTGCTCCCATGACTGCTGGCGGCCGGGAGCGGGTGTGTTCCACGACGCGTCGTTGTAGTAGGACATGGCGGGCAAGAGGCAGTCCGGTGGCTTCGTGGGAGTCGGGGTAGTTGCGCAACGCCAAAGGGCTCGTGGGCGGGACTAGTCTAGATATTCTGAGTACACTGGTCAGTACGGTTGTTCTGGTCCAGCAATGGCACGCAGCAATTGGCGACTGAGGTTCGGCAACAAGAGGTTCGGCGGTCGGCGGCAGCCCGTGTTGACGATATGGGGGCGGGAAATGAGGTCGAGGCGGGCAGCGGAAAATTTTGGTGGAGAGCGGAGATGTTTTGGACACGCAGGGTCGTGCCGCGTACCGAAGAAAGTGAACCGTGAACTCACCTTCACCGCGAAAAAGGAGCGACAGCTGTTCACCGGGCAGGCAGCAAGTGAGGCACCAGGAAAAGCACAACTGAGAGCGGGTAGGGGTCAGGGAGGGACTTCGGGAGATATCGCGGGAATGTGAGGACATGGCGAAAGGGGATGCTGGATTCCTCGCGCTAAGCAGGCCGAGCAACGACCTATCCACTTAATTCATCTCCGCTTCGACGACACGGGCCTCACCAGCTGCATGCAATTAGTTCGACATGCCTTCCATCCCGTCCTGGTCCAACCGCGTACTTCGTATGACGGACGCCGCAGCCTCGCGTTGGTGGCTGCCGTTGTCCTGGAAGCCCAACTCTACGGCTCTTCAGCAGTCGGCGAAGTGGAAGAGCTGGCGGATGACGTCCGAGAGGGGCAGCTGCATGTCGTCGTCGAGGACTGCGGGATATGCAGTGCGAGCAGCGGGCGCGTTTAGCGAACCTGCAACCGTCGTTCGGGCTCTCACCACCCTATCTGTCGTCGGCTATTCGCAACAAAGCCCCGCGCGTCTCCTTTACACGTGGACCCTACCGCTCTGGCTTTGTCACGGCCCTGACATACACCGACTCAGGGTCTGCGTCCTCCCATAGACATCGACAGCTGCGTCGTGGCCGTCATCTGCGAACTTCGCGTTCGCAGTGCCCCGCCAGTGCGCCCGCGAGTGCAGCAATCCATGGCTGCCAGGCCGACGCATGCCAGGCCGTGCTGCCAGCATGATCACTGCCCTCCACCATCACGCACCATGTGGAAGCGCTTGGGCTGTGATGCGGGGCAATCGGACGAGCAATGTGGGCTGCCTCCAATAAGCACCCACCAAAGACAGACATTCGTGAAAATATCGACTTGTGGCTTGCTTCTCCATCAGAGCACATGCACATCCACCAGAGAGATGATACTCCTACCATCGGTGTGGTTGTCGCCCGAGTCCGTTTGGCTCAGAGAAGACCAAGATGGCCAACGTCGGTGCCGGCCTTGTTTCCAGATGAGGTTTAACAAAGTCAAGATAGCAACGCCATGCACGCCGAGCTTCGCATGCTGATATGCGACGTCAGTACCCATCCACGATGTGGGGGGTCGGAATGCGCTGCCGAGTCTCCAGATACACAGGTCTTTATACAAAGCCGGGCGATGCTCGAAAACACCTCACTGTATGCGCAATAACAAAATGGCACGTGCGTGAGCCGACCAACACAGGCAAGGGTACGACCCATTCGGCTAGGCCTGCGCTCCCGCATACCCCAGCTTCTGTAGTTCGCCAACTTCGCCTACACTCCGCCGTTGCGCTATAGCCTCCAAAAGTAAGCCTTGCACACGTCATCCTGAGGAATGTATTCTCCTTTCGCCTATCCGCTCAGTCACCCTGTCCATTCCATTCCATCGTCATCACACTTTTCGAGTCATCAACATCCAACGCTCTTTCCCCTTTCGCTCCTTGACATCACGCGCCTGCCACCGATCATGAGTCTAGGCATCACTCAAGCCATCAGCCACACCTCCGACATGACCACTCATCCTCCCTTGCAACATATACGCCCGATAAGCCCGTCACACATGATGAAGCGCAACGCCCACCTCACGCATGAATATGAGACACCGCCCTTGGAAAGGAGGCGAATTCATGGATCCCTTATTAGCAGCGAATTCACCCTTCAACGGACGGGCGCTGTTCGCCTTTACAGTCGGACGTGAAATGTCACAACGGTGGCTATACAGTGTGAATGACTCCACCGATATGGCTCAGCAAATGGGCCTCGCCTTGTGCGCGAGCGTACTGCATCGACCTCCTCCTACGACTGTTTCCAATCCTCAGATCACGAAGACCCACGAAGTATCAACAGCCACCTCTGCCGAACGTACAGGAAGCCATGCCCGCGCCTACAGCACCGCTCATCAATCTCCCCACTGAGCTCATCCTCGATATCGCAGACATTCTTCCGCATGATGCGATAGTTGCCCTCGGGCTCACACAACGACGACTCAACAGCATAATATGGCTTAATCAGCGACGATGGCAAATTCCACGCCCACGATGTGTACAACGCGCCATTCAACGTCATTTAGCTCCACCGTCTTCGAAACCCACCCATCGATACTGTATCTTGTGCAGGGTTACATGCCCGATCGGCAGTTTCAAGTCATCGCTCAGTCCAGCCTGTCTGCCCATGGCGAGAGTCAACGTACCGCATGACGTTATCGAATTACCGCCTAACGTCTGCTTCTGCCATGTTGCAAGGTTTGCGATGGATATCGAAACCGGGCCAAATACCATACTTCCGGCAAGAAACGCATGGGTCAGTCAAAGGATCAAGATATGCCTACACTGTGGAGGAACTCCTTGGGATTCCAACCAGTGCAATTACGATTGCCAAACCTGTCTGACTGAAGAAGTAACGACGTACATCCGGTTTTTCACACCGCGTAAAGAGAAACCAGAGTTCGTCTTCTGGAGGGAGACTCCCAGACCAAGGGAGCAGGGAGCAGGTCAACTTTGGGTTCGGGAGACTCACAAGGATGCGATCGACACTATGTCAGTCATCAACTTCCCCGTGCTGGATGAATCAACCCCGAAGGTGGAGGGATCTGTTCGGCGTTAAGCTTCAATCACGATCCAACCAGTCTTGAAAGCTACACTTCACACGCGAGCTGGTCTTGCTGTTTGCGCCAGTTTTGTTCATACTCTTTAATTCATAAGTCATTTAAAACCCCGTCTTTTCATCAAACATATAATCGTCCCTTCGCACAAGGCCAGCCTTTTCCACATCCCCCTCACCACTCCTGTCGTCCGTCCCCAGCTCCTGCCCCCAACTTCTCACACTGCACAACGCCCACCACTGCGCGCCCATCAAACTCAACCCCAGCCCCGCAATCGCAAACTTAACAACAATGAAAGTCATCGAGCACTTCTCCAACCACTCGTCGTCCCACCCAAATCCCGCATCGATATCGCGACACAACAACGACCCATCAACGGCATAGCTCGGAATAACCGGATTGAGTAACCGGAAGTCGAAGGGCAGAATCAGGTTTACGAGCGCGATGGTGACGAAGGAGAGGGTGATGGCGTGGACGATGGTGTAAGCTGACACTAGGCGCGGTAGTAACTGCGAAACAGGGCGTTAGCACATTTCCGCCTTTGTCTTACTAATTGTCTTGCACATGTCTTGGATGTTGCTTTCCTCCGCGCGACGCCGGACCCATCCAAGACCCGGCAGTCGCACGAATCGCGGGGATGAAGAAGGTGGCTTGCGTGCTTACCCGTATAGCGCCCACGAGGCCTAATATGCTTGCGCTGCCGGCGATGGCATTGTATGTGATGGAGAAGACGGCGCGGTTGGGATCTGAGCCTGGGAGGAGGAAGGAGAGGGCGAGGAGCGTGTGGGTGCAGAGTGTGAGGGAGGGGAGCACGACGGCTAGGAATCTGTGAGAGCGCAAGGTCAGTATTTGCTGCATGGCGCAAGCTTCGCGCGTTTGCGAACATACCTCATCTGCTTTTGCTCGATCGATAGTGCCATGTTTCCCGTTCGGTCCAGGCCAGGGAAATGAGGATGGGATTCAGGTATGACGGTGTGGATGTAGAAGTCGATGCGGATGCGCCTGGCTCAAGACCCCAAGTAACAATGCGCTGCGCTGCGTTGCGTCTCGTTTCGTTCCGGCGTGATGCGCGTTAAACCTCCGTATAAAAAGCAGATTCAAATCAAATACGTCAGACAGACTCCGGGGGTGGGTATCAAACAGCAGATCAGTACCGGCGCGTCGGAATTCAGGATCAGGAAGGAGGCAGAAGCAAAAGCAAGCGATCCGGCACGAATCCTTCCAGTATATATCTCGTAGTCTTTTCGCGGGGAACTAGCTAGCAGGTAGCTAGTAAGTAGTACAATCGTAATCGCAATAATCGCAAGCCGGTTGCCGGAAGAGTAGTCAAAGTCAAGAGGAGAAAACGTGGTGGTCGCGTGCAGTAGTTCAAGTAAAGTAAATAGCCACACGACCTCGGAAGCTTGATGTCAGTTTTGCCTGAGTTGGCCGATAGAAAGAGCCCTCTGGATTGTTAATCGGTCCTGCGTTTCGGTGTTCCGATGTGAAAGATTTAACTTTGTCGTGACCTAGTACATAGGGTAGGAGCTTTTTTTTTCGGACTAGCTCCGGGATCCGCGGATGCAGGATGCAGGATGAGGTGCCTCTGCGATGTGCGGCGGACGACTCGGACGATGCGCGTGCGTTGGTGATGTCACGGGTTGAGGATCTTTTGGGTCGCTATGGTCGCTATAATGCGCACGCGCGTTTTTAACTACTTCGTGAAACTGATGCGCAAGCTGAATAGCTTTCACGCAACGCTCTACTTCACATCGACGCGCACAATGCACCTCTGAAGTTCAAATGCGCCATCAACAACACGCATCACACAAACAGGTCTAGCCCTAGTCTCCCCCAGCGCTTGCCATGTGTGGTGTATGTGCCAATGCCAATGCGGATCATGCGGCAAGCGGTTGTTCCAGTGGAGCACCTTCCGGAGCTTAGCGGAAACAAGAACCTCGAAGACCTAGAATCGCAAGCGCGTCATTCCGTGCCTCCAGGTCTAAACGTTATCTATGTTCTTTCTTGGATATGCCGCGCTTGTACGGCTGTCGGCAGGTGTCTTTTGCCTAGGTATGCGATAGACCCCGCAACTGAGGGCGTAGTGCATATTCATGGCTGATGGAGTTTTCATGATGGGATTGTTGATGCGCATTCTCGCATGCCCATCACACATCTCCCGAGTCTCATTCTCGACAGAAAGACCCGGATGCCGACGCTTCCTTATTCCGTGACCAATCACCCCCCATCCCACATCTCACCCTAGTCGCTCAGACAGAAGATCTTGAACATGAAAACTAACAACGCCCTATCCCATGCACAACCAGCACAGCAAAGCGTATCACGATTTCACGCGCCTGCAGGGCTGGTACAACAGAACGGGTTCTAGACGTGGCTTGTACCGTGGAGCGGACGCGTTAGGTGCATGCTTTGCTTGGCGCGATGATGCAGTAGGGGCTAGAGCGAGTGTGACAGCTATGACAACAACCTGGCGTGCGGTGTGGTGGTATCGGATAGTCCGGCGTGGTTAGGTGTGCTTTGGTTTTGCCTGAAAGCCGGCGAGGAGGGGGTTGTGACGGTGCATTGACGTGCGTGTTGGAGGGAGAGCACAGGACAGGGTGGATGGTGTGTTGAGTGAAGACCACTCGTTCGGCGTCGCATCGGTCAAGGGTCGCGACCCAAATTTCTTCTTCATCACTCATCACGATTATCACCAGTGTGATTTGGAACGTGGATGAGTGTTTTGACAGTATATTCATTTTCGCCAACTGGCGTTGCGGTCTGGCTATGGTGCAGTGCAACGCGCCGTGCCGTTTATCTATTTATTCATATCGTCATCATCGTTCATCCACCACTCTCTCCAAGCACCACCCATCTATGCGAAGACGTAGCAAGGGATACCGTACTGCAACACAACATTAGCACTCATCCTATACCACAAAGATCCACATCTAAACTTACGTTGGTAGGAGCGTTGAACTTCAAGTTCTTGTCCAGGCCAGAAATCTCCGCAATCTCGCTGTCCTTGAGATCAAAGCTGGTAACATCCAAGTTCTGCTGCAGACGGTTCGCCGAGTTGGACTTGGGGATAACGCTAAGACCGCGCTGTGTCGACCAGCGGAGGAGGACCTGCGCGGGAGTCTTGCCATGCGCATCTGCGATCTTCTTGATGACGGGGTGGTCAAAGAGGAGGGGTGTGTCAGCCGCGATCTTCATGTCGCACTCGATGAAGCTCTGGGGGCCGAAGGAAGAGTATGCGGTGACCTTGATGTCGTGCTGCTTGGCGAGCTCGATGAGGTAGGGCTGGACGTAGTAGGGGTGGTGTTCGATCTGGAGGGTGGCGGGCTTGGTCTTGCAGTAGGTGAACATGTCGAGGAGGAGGGCGCCCGAGTAGTTGCTCACACCGATGCTCTTGGCCAGGCCCTTGTTCTTGAGCTCCTCAAAGGCTTCCCATGTGCTTTGTAGGCTGGCATTGCTGTGCTCGATCTTGCTCTCGCCGTCGACGAACCAGCCCGGTGGGTACCGCACCTTGGGGTCGACGTACTTGAGCGCGACGGGGAAGTGGATGATGTACAGGTCGAAGTAGTCGACGCCCCAGTCGGCCAGTTGCTTCTTGCAGATGGGCTCGACTTGCTCGCGCTCGTGGAACGTTTGCCACAGCTTGCTGACGATGAAGAGGTCTTCGCGCTTTACGAGGCCGTCCTTAATGGCGCGGGCCACACCCTGGCCGCACTCGACTTCGTTGCCGTAGTCTGTAGATTGGATTGTCAGCTGTGATCATGCGCGGCGCTGTTCCGAGGCAGGGCGCTAGCATTCCGACGCAATGTAACCTTGCAGAAGATGCAGAAGCCACCGGTAAATCGGAGGGAAAACCCGGTCTGCGATTGCCGATAGATCTCTGCTCTTTACGGTTTACGGGCCGATGGAGCGTTTCGTAGTGATTGAGATTGCTTCCCCAGACCTCCGCCGACTGCGGCTCTGGGGATGAGGAGAGGGGATGAACGTACCGCAGGCACCGTCGAACAACCTGTATCCAGCCTTGATGGCGTTGTAAACAGTGTCGGCGCAGGTAGCATTGTCGACCTTCCACAGTCCAAAGCCAACCTGGGGCATCTTGTTGCCATCGTTAAGCGTAACGTAGGGAGTGTTGACAGCCATGGTAGCGAAGAAGTTGCGATGCGCAAAGCTATTCTTTTGTAGTAACGTAGGAGGTGAACGTCCAAAGCAAGGTCTTGTCGAACGAGTAAAAGAGGAAGAAGCAAGAGATCTGGAAGTAGTAGCAACGGCAGAAGAACAGGCGGCACGCAGCGTATTAATACTGCTAGCACGGCAATTGAAGCGCCCAGCAATCATGTCCCTGGGGGTAGTATATACGTGTATTTTGCAGACGGAATAACAGATTTTGGCGCCAGGTACAACAGCCTGCCGTCTATATACGCCGTGTCAGAGGCTAGCTTCACCATATGACCCTGCGTCTTCAACCGGACGACTGGGCTGCCATGGCCGTGTCTGCGCCTTTACCCTGATGGGTTATGGTTCCGCCTGCCTATTTATCCTTGTTGCGCCGCATGCCTGTGGCGGATGCTGAGCGTGTTGGTCGGCCTTGGTGTTTGGCGTCGCCTGCAAAATACTACTGCAATGCCTCTTCCTTCCTTCCTCCTGTCCGGCAATTCTCAATACATGGGTAAATAGCGGCTCGTCTCAACAATGCTCAATCAGAAACTTCTGCGTCCTGAAACTGCATGCGAGCGCCGTAACGCTGGCAAAAGAGCGCAGCTGCAATCACGATCACCACAGTGACGATAGTGGGGTACCATGTGCCCCTCCCTACCCACAATTTGGCCTGCCACCACGCGGTCGACGGGTAAAGTAGCTACTAGTCTCGACAGCTCGAGGCACCGGATAATTAGTACGCGCCATGGTCGTGATTTACCGTTCGTCCATGGCATTGGATAAGCGATGAGCCGGCGTGGGATTTCTTTTTGTGCTGTTCGCATGCCGTGGTGGGGCGATGAAACGTTTGAGGCTCTTCGGACATGCGACATGACGGCGTGATTGTTGCAATAGCCGGGAGTGAAGCGGCATTACAGCACGTCAGCGGAAAGACAAAAGTTGGATAGAGGATAAGTCATTAGAAACTACGAGCAAAAGCTTCGTTGATTGACGCTAACATCAATAACACTATGCAGTACCGATATCAAAGACATCATGCCCACTGGGAGCGCAGTCGTACAAGAATATCATTCCGCCCATTCCCATGCGCCAAGCAAACACCGATGAGTGAAGTTCATTCCCGCGATCATCCCCAGATCCCGGCTTACTTCCGCGAACTCGCCATCTCTCCGAACCGACCTCGTTGCTGTGTGGTGTCATAGGCTTGCAGCACCCTAGCTTGCGATTCGTCTGTTTGAGAGAACGCATAACCACGCTGTTTGCGCATGCGCTGCACTTGACGGACTTTTCGGATCGCTTTTTGGAATTGTTCCATGCTGTTGAAGAGTTAGTCAGCTGTTGCTAGCAAGGGTGAATATTAAGTAAACATACCGTGGCCGATAATCTTGGATGTTGTACTTCTGAATCTCCTGGACGTGATGGTAGCTCTGCGGGAAGTACATCCTCTTGGCGTACTTCCATGCAAAGTCTCGGATGAGACAGAGTGGCGGCAACACCAAGACCATTGCCCAGAACCGCGGGTCGGGGAACAAGCGCTCGATAACACCAACATATTCGGTGGAGATATTGACCTTGGGAGCTACAACGGCGTAGATGGGCATCAAGATGAACCATAGCAGCATGGAGCCTGGGATGGCTATTACTGTGTACTTCGTCCAGATGTTGGTAATGAGAGAGGCTTTGAGAAGAACAGTCGCAAGGTTGGCTGTGTAGGAGGCAGTTCCCCAGACCCAATGACCTG